ATTCTCGACTTCAACTTCACGAATTTACGATTTTAACTTCATGATTACACATTTTCAATTTCACGAAATAACGATTTTTACTTACGAATTCAACTTCGTGAATTACCGATTTAAACTTCTCGAATTCACGATTTCAGCTTCACGTATTTACGATTTCAACTCTATGAATTCACGATTTCATCTTCTTGAAGTTGAAATCATGAATTCATAAAGCTGAAATCGTGAATTCGTGAAGTTGAAATCGTGAATTCGTAAAGTTGATATCATGAATTCACGAAGTTGAATTCGTGAAGTTAAAATCTTGAATTCATGAAGTTGAAACACGGAATTCATGAAGTTGAAATCATAAATTCATAAAGTTGAAATCGTGAATTTATTGAGTTAAAATCGTTAATTCGTGAAATAGAAATCGGGAATTCCTGAAGTTAAATACATGAAGTTGAAATTCTGAATACATGGAGTTGAATATGTGAATTCATGAAGTTGAAATCGTAAATTGGTGAAGTAGAAATCGGAGATTCGTGAAATTGAATTAGTGAAGTTGAAATTGTGAATTCGTGAAGTTGAAATCGTGAATTTACGAAGTTGAATTTTTTAAGTTAAAATAGTGAATTCGTGAAGTTGAAATCGCGAATTCATGAATTCCGTATGTTGAAAAGGATAATTCATGAAGTTTTAGTTGTCAATTCATAAAAATGAAATCGGGAATTCATGAATTTGAAATGGCCCTACCGGTCTTTCGTAGGTATATGATTAAAGGATGCATTGATTAATTATTTTATCCACAAATTACAGATGAAATTATTGAACAGAAAAATGATTTAACTTTATTTTTGAAGCTGAATTTTATAGACTTCAGGCTGTTGTTGACAAGCCGGTCTCCAAAATATTTGAATAGTGAAGATTTATGATAAATTATAAAACATCTATTTGCTATTTTAATGTTTATATTTTTCCGTTAATGAAGGTCTAACGAGTAATCTATATTACTCGTTATCTAACAATAGTTTCGTAAGTTTTTGGCATAACGAATGTTTTTGGTAATTTTGTAAATATACGAGTATAACGATAGCTTTATGAAGATTTAACGACAGTCGTAATTCTAATGAATGCTTCTTGTTACATACCCAGGTTTTGCACAATATGATTGAAATATCAATAAGGCGTGTCCATAATAGTCTAATTCATGTGTTTTAACAGTTACCACGGAAAACCATAAACATCTCATTAAATTATTACACAATGAAGTCAATTATGTTGTTGTTTAAAAAAAGAATTTGCTATTGACCATTCATCATTATAAGTAACTACACGAATTTACCTCAAGTAACTGATCTCCTCTGATTTCTCTTTTTTTTTATCTAATTCATGAAACTTTTCATTGAAGTCGAAGTATATCTATAGAAACAATAGGTCAAAGAAAATCATGGCCATTAAGTCGGAACTTTTTTATTAAAGAATTTTATTCATTATGAAAAAAAATGTCATTACCAGATTTCAAAAAATCTTTTTTATTGCGGAAAAAAATCTTAAATTTTTTAAAATCGCAAAATTGGTAAAATCGGTCGGACTTGCAGTGGCTATCGTGCAAATCTTGCCAATTTCGTGAGGTTGAAAAACACTATAAGAAACATACAATCGCTCTCCTACGATGGCTTCCTTTAAATGGACTCCACTGAGGTTTAAAAGCCTAAAAACATAACATTTGAATTTCTTACATAAATGAGCTGGGGCACTTTAGACAGAAATATATGCAAAGATAGTTAAGAAATATACTTTGAAATAATTGAAAATCGTATTTATATGCTTTTCTTAGTCCGATTTGAGTGAAAAGCGTTTAAACGCTTTTCATTTTAGGTCATTTATTTACAATGTGAATAATTATTCTGGAAAAACGAAGTGCGCGAATGATCTGAAATTTTGCACAAAGATTAGAGGTCTAAACCTACATCAAATGGTACATTTATATGGGGGAAAAAATTTCAGTCCCATCATGTCAAAAAACCTCAGTTGAGTCCCTTTAATTAATGATACCAATATGGCCTTGAAAAGTTGAGATAGCCACAGACCGAGTATCGGGCCTGGGTAGAAAAAAATACGCTACATAAATTTGGTACAACACGACGGTATAACAGAAGAAAAATGTCTAACCTATTACAAACATTCAATAACTGGTGAATAACTGAATTTTAAGCTACTTAGCTTACTACTAAAATTTCTGTCAAGCGACATTATAACAATTGAGTAAATGTTCCTATTTCTATGACCCCATAAAATGTCGCGCAACAACAACAATACCTAAAAAAGCAACAACAACGAAATGGCTGCCAATTAATCAATTTCAACTGGGAAGTAGTTTTAGATCTCAAATATGAATATAAAATCTTCGCAAAATAGGTAAATAAATGAAAGGTGATTAAAACATTTTGGAAGATAAAGCTTTATACTCTTCATTATATGCAAACAGTTTTATTGGTAATATAGATGTAACACTTGTACATGTGAATCAGTCCTGTGGCATTGCATTACATGGTCCTGTTGTTTCGTAATATGAGCCGTGTCACGACAAAACCAACATAATGGGTTTTCGACCAGCATGGATCCAGACTAGCCTGCGCATCCGCGCAGTCTGATCAGGATCCATGCTGTTCGCTTTTAAACCTTTTAACAAGTAGAGAAACTGATAGCGAACAGTATGAATCTTGATCAGACTGCGCGGATGCGCAGGCTGGTCTTGATCCATGCTGGTCGCAAACCCATTATGTTGGTTTTGTCATGGCGCGGCTCATATATACTAGTATTGGAGGAGCTCCACCCCGGTGTCCGTAGATATAGATTTATATTAATCGCCTTTATATGCCGTGACGGTCGTTTCCAAATTTTTTATATGTTGACAGATGGTTATGAAACTGATTTTAAAAGTAAAGTGATTGTTTCAAACAGGAATGGTTCGGAGCTATCTGTAGAAATAGTGTACTTGATGAGTACAAGCTTTTTTAAATCAACATTTGAGTATGAAAAATACCTTGATCTTGTACCTTAAAACATAAGAATTCTTATTACGAGACTGAGAATTTCTGCTCATTCTCTGCGTATCCTTACATGTCGATTTGGTGTAAATAGCATACCCAGAAATGAACGATTATGTTTGTATTGTAATATTCATGATATCGAAGATATATACCACTTTGTTTGTGTGTGCCCTTCTAATCCAGGTACCTCTCTGGCGTTGGTTTGATCCCCGGGAGATGCTTTGGTAGTTTAGCGCACAGAAAGGTAGTCTATAGTACTGGTGTAACTCTCCAGGAACGGTGGTTAGGAATTACCCGCCTTTATGACTGAAATACTGTTGGGAAAAGGCGTAAAATAAAACAAACAAACAAACTATAGACGTCTTAGAGTAAAATATATTAAACAATTTTACTATGCTAGACCATCTGTCTTTAAATTCTATGAACTGTTAAAAAGAAGCAATAAGAAAGATCTATGTAATTTTGCATTATTCCAAAAGGAAGCTTTCAAACTTAGAAGTGATATTGATATGATTGAACGTTGATATTGTTTATGTTTTTAGTTTAATTTCACTCTCTATGCATGTATTTTTAGATGCTAATAATATACTAGTGTTGATTGCAAAACATTTATCCCTTACATATTGTATGTTTGTTGTAAATTCAGTGTTTGTAGACAATATACTATGTATAAGTCTTTAATAAAATTATGTTCTGTTCTGTTCTGCTATTTAAGTAAATCAGAAAATCGTTCGATAATATATTTAAAGTTATCAATGTTTTAAATGATTTTTCATACGAGTAGAACTCCTAATAAGAAATAGGGAAAATACTACAACACACGTTATTTTATTTTTTTTCAAGTGCGTATAAATCCTCTTACTTTCGAAAATATAGTCAGCAGCAGTTAACTCCCTTATCAGTACCGCATAGTTACCATGGATTTAAATTAGATCATTCGGACCTATTTCCCTCTGAAAATGGCTACTCGAATGAAACTAAGAGCATAAATGATTATTTTTTCATTACTTAAAAATCGCCTTCCATCAGAACTTTCAAATACTATGATTAATATGCCACATGCCCTATGAGTAGAACAGCTGGTAGCGTGCAGAACCAAAAAAGTTGTATATACCTTTGGTTAATTTTGCACTTGGTCATTTAACCATGCAGCCGATTGCTGCAAACTCTATTGAAGAAAAATTCGTCCGTTAAAAGTAAGATAAAATAAGAATATGCTTTGTCATTTCCGTTTAAAACTTACATGCATCTTGTAATAGCTGTAATACGAAACAGATTTGGTACTGAATAGTTTAAAATAACGTCTGAGTTCTTTGAACACTGGTGTCCCCTGACTGCAAATTTAGGGGTATCTTACACTATGTTTTACAGGATAACATACGCAAAAGTAAAGCCGCGCTTCCTTCTTGATATTTGCTTTCATATTTAATTCTAAATTATTTTTTTTAAGAAAGATGCGTTTACAACCCTTATTGTGTTGTATTCGCAACTTTTCGGAACTTAAGCTCGGGTACAATAGATACTTATGGATAGTCCCCCCATCGAACACAATAGATACACATGGTTACACTCATCGAACACAATAGATACACATGGTTACACTCATCGAACACAATAGATACACATGGTTACACTCATCGAAAACAATAGATACACTCATCGAACACAATAGATACACATGGTTACACTCACCGAACACAATAGATGCACATGGATTGGTATAAGCCATAATATTATTCAGGCACCTACAGCTTTTATTCGTTACGGAGTTTTGTATATGTTGTTTGTAACGAATACCTAAGAAATGATATTATTCCGCTGGAAATCATCTACCGGTGATTTGCACATCATTGACAAGCCGACTCGGAGTTTCGGGAACAGAGTCATTTTGAGTTTATTTTAGAAATGTTTAAATAGATATATAGATTTAATGAGGAGAAGGACTTTTTTTGTAAGAAGCAAGATCTGTTAAACATTTTCAATTTTTATTCATCATACAATATATCATAACAACAAATGTATCTTTGGTCTTTTCTGCTTACTATAGTATGATTTATAACAGTTTACTCCGCTTACAAGAGATTTATTTTTTTTAAACTGTATTTTACAAAGTCTTTATTAACAAGTAATTCAGAAAGTAAAAGTAAATGGATTTCCTAACTAAAAATAGGTAAAACAGTAAAATGGTGTATAAACATTTCACTTTTCACATTTTCACATAACACATTTGACAACAACAGTAATAAAAACAACAATAGCATCTTAGTTTAACCACATACAGGTGTAGCACAAATTATTACTCATTTGGACAGCACATCTTTAAAAACACTTTATACACCATCTCAAATTTTAAAAAACTGTTTAAAAAGTGAAACTCACTCAATAATAAAAAGCTTCTTAAAGGGATATTCAGGCAAAATAATGACAAAAAATATTAAAATGATCTTATGTACTCAAATCACGGTAAAATGACTTTTCATGAAGTTTCAGCATGAATTTCTGTTTAAATTCTATATATTTTGGGTTTGAAGCGTAAATATATCTATATATGCTGGACAAAATTTAGACGCCAATAGAATCACCAAATAGTTTTAAAACAAGTCAGGTGACTTGAACAAACCCTTGAAGTTACAATAACAGATATTGTGGATATTGTATGATGGAAACAAGCCTAAGTCATTCAATTGACATGTTCTTTAACGTTTCCAGAGTTCACTTTGACAACTATTGTGAAATGCTTGCGCTCTTACCTGACCCACGCGGGTCAGGTTAGGAAACCACCATTTTATTCTTTATATGGAGAAAAGTTTTGTTCCTTTGACTGTCTAATATATTCATTTTGAGGGCATTTACAGAATAATGAATGAAAAATTCAAAACTAAGAAAATTAAAATTTTGCCTATGTCTCCCTTTAAAATTCTGAATTGTGTGGCTTACAAGTATATCACACGGAACCAATCTCAAAGCTGGACCCTAACATATAATCATTAACGTCAACGAGGATGATTGCTCTTTGACTTCATGCATGTTTTTAGTGCTCAATGACCATATTCTAAAACTAAATTTTCTTGTGTTAAATTTGCAGAATTTCCACCAAATAGTGTCAAAATATATTCTTTCAGCACCATCGACAGTGAAATAAATTGTATTTTACAATCATTTTCTTGTAACATGTAATTAATTAAGATTCAATTCTATGTACAAGTCGTTCAATACAATATACTAGTAATACTTATTGTAACTATTGTAATTGTAACATTGGAATTATAATACGTTTAACGGCAAAATGAGGGATGCAAAAATATAACACCTATAATGATTGTAAAATATACATGAATACTTTTCTATTTATCGCAGTCATATTAGTGGATTTCAAGATTGTTTGTACAGTTTTACTGAAACGAGGCTCGCACTAATCTGCCCTCGAGAGCTAATGGTGGCCGGAAGTTGTCTTGCATATCATGTCCATCGGCATCTTTCAAACTTCGTAACTTTTTCATCTGTAATTGAAATAAATAAATAATAATGATGCGTGTTTTCTATTGTATGACTGGTATATTAAATGAATACTTACTCATAACAATTGTTGGTTACTGCGTCAAAAGCAGTGAATTAATAATCATTGTTTCATTTTTAAAAAATCTTTTTCAATTTCGATATTTACTCTTCGAGCGGCAGCGTGACCGAATGGTCTACGCGTCGGACTTGTAATTTAAAAGGATTGTAGGTCGCGTGGGTTCAAGCCCCGTTAGAGGCAAGTCATTGTGTCTGTGAGCAAGAAATTCTACACTAGTTGCTCATTAATGGTTGGTTCCAGGAATTGATTCTAGAGTGTTTCAATAAGTTCATACTTCCAACACAATCGGTCTAAAATAAATTTGTATAAACCTTTCAGTTTAGTGATTTTACTAGAATAGTTCTTTGTTATGACATAAAGACGGTGCTATGTAATACATGTCTTTCGCTGGTTTTAATTAAATGAACTTTTTGGTCTGTTCGTGAAAACCTCCCTTAATCAGACTTAATCTAATTTATAAAATTGTCCGCCATTTCGTATAATTATTTTGTTTCTTAGAAGGTTAAATATAATAATATTTTTAAATCTGCTAACTTTGATGAAGTTCCGAAATTGTTGCATACTAATTCTAAGAAAGATTTTATTTGATTTAGATTGTTTTAAAACTAGTTATAAATATTGAAAATTAAAAAACCCGATTGTAGTGTTGTTTATTTTTCAATTTGAAAGAAAGTTTGGATAGCCATCAAACTTCATTTGCACATACATTTCATAGTCTTACACACGTTTACAGTCAGTTCGTTTTAATACCATCTTCACTTTTGGTGTAGTTTAAATCTAGTAAACTATTTTGTTTGAAAATGATATATATTTGAGCCGCGTCATGACAAAAAACCAAGTGCTTTTGCAACCAACATGGGCCCAGACCAGCCTGCGCATCCGCGCAGTCTGATCAGGATCCTGATCTAACTGCGCGTCTTGATCATTCCTGGTCGCAAACGCACTAGGTTGGTTTTGTCATGGCGCGGCTCATTTGACTAAACTTATATCCGATCCCTTAATCACCCTTTCACATACCTGGTCAGGTGAATATTCAACCGGTTCCTTGAACACAATCCATTGTACACTTTCAAACAATGGTGGGGTAGTCAAAGATCCCTCGTACGTCCAGTATTGTGAAGTATTGTCTGAAAGAAAGATTGAAATGCTACAAACAATATCAATATATACTGGTATGCGTTTCATTGAAATGAAAAATAATTTAAACAATTGTTTACCAAACTGTGTACCAAATTGGAATACAAAACATATAATTAAATGTAACCGGATTATATAAAATCGAACATTGCTAAATATTAAAAAAAATAATTCCAAGGATGATAATCGGAATGGCTTAAATTAACACTTGATTGTATGTAATGAAGAAGGGCAATGTTTAATTACTGGGTAGAAGCTCCGCTGGGTCCAAAGCTGTATCGAATGTTTTATCCGTGTTGATTGAGACCATTTCATCTAGATGATTAGTGATTGTCTTAAATACTTGATTTTCCGATCCTACCTGAAATACAACAAAAAACAACAACATTAAATTTTGATGAACAATAATTATTATTATATAATTAACGCACATAAATGTTTTTATTATATTCTGAGTCAGTGCAATGATTAAAAAAATGTTGTTAAGCAGCTTTCAGTATATATACTGTTTGAATCCTTATTGTGAAAAGTTTCCCGGGAAAGAGTCACACTCTCTAGGCTCTTGCTACACCCCCTTAGCAGCTAGCCAAGTTCAAGAAAGTGAAATAAGGAAGTGAACTGTATTGGAACATTCGACCGATGCGCAGGAGAATAGACTCTTACTGCCTATTCATCGCAATGGATTCGAATGCCATTTGATGAAAGTCACTTTCGTTTCTTTCGAGTGAAACATGTATCACACTTAATACAAAAGAATGATAATGGTTCTGACAAGATATCTGCTTTTTCGTATACAGATCAGATATAACATTAAATCTTAAAGAATATTAATATATGGAAACATATACACCAAAGTTCATTCAAGTCACACAGATTACAATTCTAGGATCATACAAGACACTCAGCTTAAGTGCTAAGCTGGTTATGCAATGCGCGTTGTTTAAAGTTTAACATTCCAGGTTTATGCAATGTGCTCTGTCGTTCAACATTCTAGGGCCATTCAATGCGTGCTACTGTTTTACTGTTCTAGGAAAGGAAAGGATCTATAAATATAACCGTCATTTAAAATAGTCATTTTCATTTTGAAGTTGTCTCTTGTTAAACAGCTATGGTAATAAATGCAATGTATCTATCCTTTTTAAATAAATCACGTGACTATATGTCGTCACACAGTAAACTCACCTTCACCATAATACCCAGTACTGCCAAACCATCGCCTTTACTAGCAGCCTCACCAAAGCTTGGGTATTTAGAAGAATTCCAATGCACAAGATGTAACTATAGAAACAAAATAATAACACTTTTGTCTGGTAATAAAGCTAAAAAAATGTCGGCAACAAAAACAAAACAATTCATACAACGTAAAATAAATGAATAAGAAAAGAATGTTTAGATTATTTTATGTTTCGTTTCCATTATGCGCGTTTTATTTTATTTCTAGATAATTCTTTATATCAATTGCTTCGTCTGCAACTATTTTATTTTATTTTATTTACCTCGGCAGCATATTCCTTCCCGTCAATAGTATGTTCTGAACCCTTGTCATCCTTTGATCCCCAATGCAGGTGAAACTGTTCAAGCCGGTAGGTGTCGCCTTTCAGAGGACCGCCTGTCAGAACTGACAATTAAAGGATAGTTAATTAACTAACGTTGTGGATTTATTTGACTGCAACATAATTGTATACGTTTAAATGCTGTCAAAAGTTGACGAAATCATTGATGAATACATACTAAACATTCGGCTTATTTTATTTTTAATTTATTTATTCTATAAAGTACATTTATCATAATCAACTAATCAAAATATTTTAATATGATAATCTTTTAACTAACCAAACATTGCAAAACTCGTGAGAAGTTGCAGAGGTATAGAGCATACATTTGATAAAAAGGAAAATTGAAAAAGAAAAACACCGATACAAGCTCAATGCAAGATTATAGCTCTAAAAAGGGAATGGAAAGAGTACCAGATTTATTTTCCGAACTGATTTGGCACATGATGCTGTGTCCGTTGTTTTTCAGTTGTATATTTCTCTCTTGGACGTACTTGGTGGTCAGTGGCTCGTCGGTAAGATCTGAGTCATATTTCGCCTCTGACGTCTTAATGTCAATTGGTGACTGACGCTTTCCCATGCTGCCAGTGAAACAATCCTTTGCCCATGTTGATGGACCTTTAAAAATGAATGAATGAATGAATGAATGAATGAATGAATGAATGAATGAATGAATGAATGAATGAATGAATGAATGAATGAATGAATGAATGAATGAATGAATGAATGAATGAATGAATGAATGAATGAATGAATGAATGAATGAATGAATGAATGAATGAATGAATGAATGAATGAGAATGAATGAATGAATGAATGAATGAATGAATGAATGAATGAGAATGAATGAATGAATGAATGAATGAATGAATGAATGAATGAATGAATGAATGAATGAATGAATGAATGAATGAATGAATGAATGAATGAGACAATACGTGGACCAAAAAATGAGGCTATTACACAGGCCGGTTAATAGGTGATAAATCCGTATTTCGAAGATGGATTTTATAGCGAATTTTACAACAAAAACAATCGTGTAGCGTTATATAACAAATAGCTTAGCTATAACGTTTCTTAGGTTTGAGAGCAATATCACGTCAAGGCACCCAACAACCAACTTTAAAGCAGCATAAAAATACATTTTTATCAAGTTAAACTTTCCTGAAATATTCTGTCTCATCTGAAGGCTTTAAATAATTCAGAGCGCTCGGGGGACTAAAGGGGCCCGGCCGGAAAATTTGATTTTTGTTTTTTGAGGGTGAGGGGGCGACTCGTGGTGTGGAGCGCGTTGATGTCGAGGTGGTTGTTGGGCGGCGCCGCCGCGCGGCCGGGTGGGCGTCGCTGGTGGGGCTTGGGGTTTTTTTTTCGCCCCGTTGCCCGCCGCCGCCCCCCCGCCGCCCCCCCGCCGCCCCCCGGCCCCCCCCCCCCCCCCCGCCCCGCCCCCCGCGAAAAAAAAAAATCCCCGCCCGCCCGGCCCCCCGGACCCGCCCCGCCGCTGGGGGGGGAGGGGAAAAAAAAAAACGGGGGGGGGGGGGGGGGGGGGGGGGGGGGGGGGGGGGGGGCCCCCCCCCGCCCCCCCCCTTTTTTTTTTTTTTTTTTTTTTTTTTGTTTAAAAAATTTTTTGGACGGAAAAAAAAGAAGGGATGGTCTGGGGGTTTTTTTCCCCCGCGCTCCCCCAAAAAAAAAAGGGGGAGGGGGGAAAATAAAAAAAAAGAAAAAAACCCCCCCCCCCCCCCCCCCCCCCCCAAAAGGGGGGAAAAAGAAAAAACAAAAGAAAACAAACTTATTGTGGCTAAGCGGAACGGCCGGCCACCCCCGCCCCAGTATCTTAAATATAGATCTTATCCTCATTTTCTGACTTTCATTAATGAAACATAACTGGAAGAAAACGCACGGAATTGTTCTTCGGCCATTTTGAAACTCCTAGATGACGTAATGATGACGTAACGGGTAGTTTTTAACGTCACATGAGAAAATAGTACTCTTTCCGCTAACAATACCCGATATAATGGCACCTTTGCATCTTATCGTTTTTCCAGATACAGTCCAACGAAGACTTTTAATGAAACTCATATACTTATTATTACAATTTGATGACAAAAATATTAGATCTTGAATATTGAGTAATATTGATGAAATTAATTGCGTATTTTCATTTTCACAGTAAAGAATTATTTTTCACAGCAGTGAAACATATTTTCCGTATTTTCCGATTTTTCACTGGTGTTTCTTCTAGATTTAGCCAATACACAAAATTTTAGATGAAATCTTTCAAATTGTAATGTCAAAAAAGTATAAAATGTTTATAATAAAACGAAAATTCAAGTTTTCTCTATAGAATCTACTGATTAAAAACAAGATTTATTTTTATCTTGTGGTATGAAAATTATCATATTTCACTCGGGGCTACTGCCACTTATGAAATATTTTATTTTCATACCAGTCGATGAAAATTAGTCCAGTATTTATAGAAGAAAAACTTGAATATCCTCCTTGTATTTTCGAAAAAACTTGCACAAATCGTCCAACATAAGCTCAAAAATATTATTATAATCTTTTTTTACTGCAAGATGGCTGGCAACGGAACTGTATTATTTTTACACACATAAGAAATGAAATAAAGATAGTGATACTAATAAAAATGCCACAGGCAAGATGTATAGATATCCGAGATATCCGAGACAAGTTACCAATATTGCGTGATTTAAATTTGAATTACATAACAATGCTCTAATGAACATAGAGGGCGCTATGGTGTAGTGGTAACACTGTCTGCCTAGCAATCAAGAGGTCGTGAGTTCGATTTCCCGCTACTCCACTAAAAGAATAGATTGACACTGAGGCTGACAAATCCAGATCATAGAACTCTAGAGACTAAACTAATAGAACATACAAACAGAGACTAAATGGTTAAAAAACATACAAAAACAAACTAAACTGAGACTAAACTGACCAGAATATATGAATAAAACTATAAGAACAACCTTGGCATGTGCATATTGTATATGATAACAATATGATAATATTTTTTGATAATCACCTGCTAATCAGATCAACTGATCAATGTTTTCAATTGACAAGCGCCGCTATAATTGCAGTTTTGTCACTGTCAAAGCATAATCATACAATATAAATGTTAAAGTTGATAAATTCAAACACTGTACAAATGAAGCATGCATTTTTGCACGCATGTGGTTTGCGTTATCAAAGCACGAACATTGTACGATACATTTAATGGAATCTACGTAACTGACAAACATTCCCATTGTAACAGCTACTATTAGATCTCGTTACATTTTGCATTGACAAATATTGAAAAAATCATTTAGAATTATCTTCATAAAAAATCTATCTTTGCAATACATTAAAGGCCATGTAACGCATTTTTATGGTTTTATAATTATCATAAATTTGAGGCTCAAATGAAGATTCATCAATATTGTAATTTTCAAAAAGCATTATTTGAAAAGATATTACCGAATTTAACATTTTATATAAATAAAGGGAGGTAATTAGATATTTATTTTCGATAAAGTCTAAGCCATTTTCTTTCAATGAAAATAAATGCATTAATTTTGATGTATATATAAACATTTGCTGTACATATTTAACATATTCTTCGATGTTTGGTAATTTTTTTAAGAAGAATAATTATATAAGCCGTGTCATGACAAAACCAACATAGTGGGTTCGCGACCAGCATGGATCCAGACCAGCCTGCGCATCCGCGCAATCTGATCAGGATCCATGCTGTTCGCTATCAGTTTCTCTACTTGTAATAGGGTTTGTAAGCGAACAGCATGGATCCTGATCAGACTGCGCGGATGCGCAGGCTTGTCTGGATCCACGCTGGTCGCAAACCCACTATGTTGGCTTTGTCGTGACGCGGCTCATATACATTTCTCCACCTTTTTACAAACGCGTCTGATACGAATTGCTTGATGCAAATCCTGTCATTACTTAGGGCTTAATAACTAATAAGCACATATGTTGAAAAATTGAAATTTTTAGATTAATAAAGCTAAGCCGCGTGTTT